TGTGTATTAGTCCCGTACGTGCAATGCCTTTTTTCCCCTCGGGAGGCGGCGGTGATCTACTAGATGGCGAGATCCGGCACGACCTACCGTCCGCTTGCGGGGTTTTTCCCAACCTTATGTAAACACACACAATACAGTTTTCCAGAGAATTGGCGACCTCCATAACGCGAGGTGAAGCCTCTTGCCCACTTGCCGCAGCCCATGTTACACGAGCACAAGCGCATAGTCTAATGTTTAACGTTCATTATTTACAAAACTAAACAACGAAGAGTATCCAACTTTTACAAATTCAGTCTGTACATTACACATGGGATAGGGCCTGGCGTATTAGCAACGAGGACCGAAATCACCCTGGTGTTTGAGACGAGCTTAGAAACCTCATAACACCCACGATGCATCGGCGACGCCATGACGGGTTCCCGTGACACAAAAACGCGCCAAATAATTAGCGTAAGTAACAACGAGATCTGTAATCTGTGGCCCATGGCGCGACCGCGGCGGACTTCCATTCATGGCAAGCGTGGAAAGGTTCGTCGTGACGTCATGCCACCCCTTTAAAAAGCGGAGCAGCTGACCACTCCACGCCCCGTCTTGTACGAGACGCCGAGGTGAGCAGACGTATGGCGTAGTCGACATCTGTCATGAGAAATAACTTGTCAGAGTGTAGAAGTGAGTTGTAGAGCAGCGAAATTAAGTAATATAACATTAATTCAGCAGTTAATTGAACTGGGAAATTGTAGAAGAGTCATGGCGAAGAATATTAGTCATCGCGAGGACAGGACCTTAATTATTACGAGGGGTCATAGGACTTTGAATTTTGCAACACAAGTCAAAGATATTGAAATACGTCCAGACTACGCCGCTAATAAAATGCGTCAGGACTGTGCATCACGCGTCGGCGTGCTGCAGGGCAAGAGAAGCGAAGATTGAAATAGACCAGGCCGTGAGGTGTATGAAGCGTAGGAAGTCTAGGCGCCGATTTCGCGGGCAGGAAGACGAAGGCAACGGTGTTCGTGCGACTTCGTTGACATCTGGACGGAAGAGGAGCGACGGCGCGGCCGGAATTCCGAGCAAGGTCAGGTGCGTCGAAGGTGAAGCAAGGTTGGTGCAAGCCACGACTGCGAGCGCCGTTTCAAAGGTATTACTCGCGCAACTTTTCTTGAACGATGGATTGAAGAAATGCGGGTAGAGTGGGCGTATTAGTTTCGTAATCAAGCAGTAGATTTTATGAAGCAATGCCAATCTCTGGAGAATCAGTCATGCCTTCGTAACTTTCTCTGGAGTTCGAGGTATCTCCTGTGATGTATCTTCACCTGCTTCGGTCATTTCTTTAGATTTTTTGAAGAAAAATACGGACAGAAGTTCTCGTCTTCAACAGAAAATAGTTTATATTTTGCGCCAGTGAGGATGTGTTTGGGAGGTTATAATCAGTGTTCAGAGCTTTAGTTATATCATTGGATTCGACTTTTTACGCTCGTCATGATAGACCGAAAAAAATGTGCATAATTCCATTTGAAAAAAGTTATCTCAAATATTTCGTAAAATAAAAGTGATAAAATAGAAATGAATGCACTATCAACTAGCACCATTCCCTCATACACTTCCGTGAAAACTTCATCGCAATAATTTCAACCTCCAAAAGCTACAGGAGTTACGCGCTGTCTATATGCGCAATTGAGCAAACGGCGTCACCTCGCGTAACGGAGCCGGCCACTTCTCTGGAGAACTCAACTGCGAATGCTAACTGAGAAGCCTCGGAAGCGAATACAAGGCAAATAGAACGCGAGGTCAAGATATCACAGTCCCTCGTATGGTAATTCAAGAGGAGGGATTACGACTCGTCCATTTCCAGCCGATGTAGCATTTGCGCAGTTGACACTTAATATATCGTTTCAATTCTCTGGGCATTTCCAGTGCATATGCAAAGCAATACAGGAATTTCGTTTTTTGGTCACGTGAAATGTGTTTCACAAGACCTGGCACAATTATTGTGCACAATTTGCATGTGATGGCCAAGGAAATCCGCATATTGCACTAAGTGAAGCTCACCAAGAGCGATTATCTGTAAATGAGACGGTTGGATGAATTGTGGATGAATTTATCCTCGGTCATCACTTCCGACCGGAGCGTTCAAGTCGTTCAGTATATGAATTTTATAACTCAGATACTCCCAACGCTTTTGGAGCCGGGGGTTAATGGAAGGCCGCGATTATGCTAGAGACCGAGGACCGTGATGACATTCTTCGGAGCACTGAAAGCGTGGAGGCAGAAATAAAGGTAGTACAACTCGGCACGGTTGTGTGCATCCCGGAGGCCGTGCGGCACAGGTGCCTACCTTGCATTCACGCAGGAGGCTATTTTGAACACTTTTAGAGCCAGTTACACGAGGTGAAAGTGCGATTGTTTTGCTATAAATGCTAATATGATAAATTATCCTAAATAAAACTTAAATAATTGCTTTTTCTCTTTCCTTTCATTTTCGTTAGATAAGTAGGCAATAATAGCAATGGGGATCAATATTTAATGTAATATTTGGGTTACCTTTCTTGCAAAAAATGACCAAGGACAAACACTTTTTCTTTCAAAATTTTGAATAGGGTTTACACTATTCCCTTTTTATTCATGAATAACTTATAACTTAAATAAAATTTAACAATATTTCAGTTGGAAATGCATGCTCACACAGAAGAGAAGGATATCCATAATAATGAGATGGCAGAGAATTGTAACCAGGAAATTGACTTAAGAGGCACTATTCACCATTATGGATTAGCAAATATTTAGAGGTAGAGAGTGTTTAAATTTATCTTGTTTTTACAATGGGATGAAAAAGTGTTTCAGAGTGCAAGAAGCGGAACAAAATTGTCTACAAGTTCAATAAGTCAAGTTGAGAGATAGCTCAGATCCTTCACATCTCCAAAATGTGTAAAACAATCAGTTCAAAAATGTTAAGAATTTAGAAGAATGTTCAATGTGCTGGGTGGATGAGGAAGAAACTTCCCCCCATGTAAAGAGGGAAGAATTTTGTTAGAGGAAGTTTGGTGACCAGTAGTGTACTCCAATGAGTCAAGATTTGGAATCTTTTCGTATTACAAATTATGAGTCTGCAAGACAAAACAGAGAAGTTAATCCCTGCATGCATCTCTCCAGCTGACCAGCACAGAATCAGAGTGTTGATATGAAGTGAATACCTCAGAAGAGTCTACAGAATGTAAGGTTTTGGAACTGTTAACAGCGTTATATAATACACAATTTTGAGAAAGCTTACGCTGCCACTGCCATTTGTGTACCAGTTGTTGGAACCTAACTTTATTTTGCAGGAGGATAACTCTCCCTGACACACTCCTTGTGTGACCACAATTTGTTTTGCCAGCAATGAGGACGAAGTGATTGACTGGCCAGTTGCAAGTCCTGATCTCAATCCAATTGAAAACTTGTGGAACATAGTAGCACACAAATTGCCAATGAAAAAGCCCAGAAACAATGAAATGTTTGTTTAACATTTTACACTTGTGGCAGCAAGTCACCAATATGAAAAGCTTTCAACACAGACTGACTCCATCAATTTATTATTCAAATCATATTTACATATCAAGAATAAAATGAGCATTTTTAGAAAATGATCAATCATGGTAAATGCCATCATGCAATCCATCAAGCCATCAAAATTATGAGTTATGTATGTTTCTCATTAGCAGTCTTATAGTCTAGATGACACATTTACTAAAATAAAATGCAAAAATAATTAAACATCACAGAACAATTCATCAAATAATTTTGGTTATTTAATGATGTTTGAGTACATATAAATAAGAGCAGCCTTCACACTGAACAAAATTAGTAAGGATTATATGTCATGAAAATTTCAATATCAATTAACTTATATTAAGTAAATATTGAATGTAATGTATATTGGGCGATTGCCTGTTTGATAGATAAATAAATAAATATCAAAAACAAAAATATTGGGTGTCAACGGAACAGAACTCTGAGAAACCAAAATAATAATAGAAGATAAATTAATAGATTAAGTGGCAAAACCAAATAGTTAAAAAAATTGAAATATTTTTAGATAAAAAATTATGTTCCAAACAAAATTGTGTTGTTGTTTTTATATCATAATGAATCTGCATGATTTTTGAACCTTTGATATTTTGTTAGCTGTTTTGACAAAGAATGTTCCATATAGAAGAAATTTAAAATAATAAATACCTTGTTAAAATCATCACAATCTTTCCGTGATTCCTGTAACAATTCCTGATACACAGAATCTCGCTCTTTTAATTGCAACTGAAGTTGACGAACCAAATCAAATCGTTTCTGTGATTCCTCATTAATAGTTTTTACTTGTTTTTCAAGTTCTTTTATGTACTTGTCTTTCTCTGCCACTTGGTTCTCCATCTGTTCAATGCGGCTTTGACTAGCCCTACCAACATTAAAATACAATAAAAATATGTCAAAAATAAATATTGCAGCCTTACAATGACAAGATTCTATTCAATTTTGGAGAAATTTTGCAGGAGAGCATGTTGAAAGTTTGGAACTGTCTAATAAAGGAATTTCATTTTATTCATAGATTTTCTAAATGTCAGATTTGAAATCTATTTTAATATGTTGTAAATGTGACAATAGAGAGTTCGAACATTTAAATCATCAATTTCATTAAACAAATGTCTGTATGAACCTTGTCGTTCCGAGGCCATGATAAAACAGATTCAGACAGATTAAAGAAAGCAATATAAACAGATATAGGTACAAAACACCTCAAACATTGCAGATAATACACTGAATTCCCAAAGTAACACAACTTCTAGAAACATTGATTACAAATGGAAATAATATAGTGAGCAAATACATGTATATGTATATAATGAAAAGCAGTTGACAAATATTAGACAACAACCAGGTGCGAAAACAGCACGTAGGCCCTACTTTCTTGTCCGTATTTTCACGCAAAAAATACGAGAAAGTACTCAAATTTCCCAAAAATTGTACACGACCTCATTTCAAAATCTATATTTAAAGAAAATATTCCTTTGTGGCAGGGCCGGCTTTAAGTAGTGCGGGGCCCCAAGCACAAAACTGTTGCCCCCCCCCCCCCAAAAAAAACTCCATCTTTATTAAATAAAAAATGTATTCTGTACAAGTACTTTCTGTACAAATGAAAACGGATAATCTTAAATAGAAATTTTTACTTGTGATACATTTTTTTTTACATAAAATACATTTTACATAATTTTTTTCTGCTCTTCGCTGCAGAAAATTGGTCGATGATGTCTTCTAAACGAAGATTTCTCAGCTTATCATGCTCCATACTCAGGATACTTAGGTCTGCTAAATTTTCTTCTACAGTTGTACATTTTGTTACACAGTAGTCTACTTGATTAACAATTAATTCACAGACAAAAAAATACGGTATGCGTATTTTTCCGAAACACGGGGACCCTGGTGAATGGGGGCCCCCAAGCAACTGCTCGTTTCGCTTGTAGGTAAATCTGGCACTGCATTGTGGAAATAATATCTAACTTTAATATTTTGGTTGTAGGATGACTCCGAACAAAATTTAGAACTTTTGCAATTTTCGAAAAAGATGGGTTTTCAACGAATGTAAGAGTTTACCATTCTCTTTAAAGCCCCTCACATTATCCAGCAAACAAAATTAATCCAAAACAATCGAGCGATTTTTTTGAAAATTTGGAAAATTTCCCAGGGGCCTCGTGTAAAGTACCCTCCAAAATTAAAATATCAATTTCAAATTCGGGGGGCCGCAACATAAGCCAGATAGTTTGGGGAATATCAATTTTGGAGAATATCAGCTAAACTGTTTAGACGCTAGCGTAGTTCACAGAGATGGACGGACATTTTGCCGTCATTCGATTTTCCGCTATCGATAACCCACAAAACATGGATCCTGGCTACACCACTTTTTCCTGTATTTATCCACTTTTTCTGGTCTGACTTCTTACTAAGAGTTTATCTGTTGAAAATTCGCGCCGTTTTTTCGCGCAGCATTACATTAATACTTTCTCTCTTATTAGCGAGAAAGTCACAATGTAATCAGACTGGTGCTCGTAGCTTGAAACAGCAAAAATGCTACTGAACAAAACCATATAAAATTATTTTCCAAAAAGTAGCATTGCTGAAAAACTGCTCAGGAACAACAAATAAAATACTCTCATTTAAAATAACACAATAAATTAGATATTTTGAGAAAAAACCGCCTTCATGAATATTCGGCAACAACACAGTATGGTGGTAATATTAATATATATATCATAATATATATGATATAGTATTATATATATATATATTATATATATATATAATATATATATATAGTATATACGTATATATATATATAAATACACACACACACACAGACGCACACACACGAGATATAAGCTTTAAAACTACACAGCTTATTACTTATGCAAATTATACAGCCATAATATGCCAAGATCTTAGTGTGCTGCTCAAGGGAAAGTGGAGAGTGATAGTGAATGACAGGAAAAAGTGGAACGATTTAGTTGTGAAAGCCAAGACCACAAAGGGTTGTAGTACTTATGGAAGAAGAAGAAGAAGAAGAAGAAGAAGAAGAAGAAGAAGAAGAAGAAGAAGAAGGAGAAAAAGAAGAAGAAGGAGAAGAAGAAAAAGAAGAAGGTGAAGAAGAAAAAGAAGGAGAAGGAGAAGAAGCCGGAGGAGAAGAAGAAGGAGGAGAAGAAGAAGAAGAAGAAGAAGAAGGAGAAAAAGAAGAAGAAGAAGGAGAAGAAGAAAAAGAAGGAGAAGAAGAAGGAGGAGAAGGAGAAGAAGAAGAAGGAGGAGAAGAAGGAGAAGAAGGAGAAGAAGGAGAAGAAGAAGAAGGAGGAGAAGAAGGAGAAGAAGGAGAAGGTGAAGAAGAAAAAGAAGGGGAAGGAGAAGAAGCCGGAGAAGAAGAAGAAGGAGAAGGAGGAGAAGAAGGAGGGGAAGAAGAAGAAGAAGGAGAAGAAGAAGAAGGAGTAGGAGAAGAAGAAGAAGAAGAAGAAGGAGAAGGAGAAAAAGGAGAAGAAGAAGGAGGAGGAGAAGAAGAAACACATTTTCATTCAGTACATTTTATTCTCTTTATCTTTTTGTATCAAGGATGAATGAATTGTTCTTAGATATTGATCAATCACACGGGATTATTCTTAGTAAAACAAATTAAAAATAACAAGTAGTAGGAATAAAAAGAACAATAGCGTAACTTACAAATATTATAATTCAGCAAAGAATACTTACTGTGTAATAAGCTGCACTTTCTCTTCACTTCTTTGTGCAAGATTTTGTATCTCACGAACACGCTCTTCTTCTGCCTTTCGAAGCTGTTGTGATAGTAATTCTGTGCGTTGAGCACATTCTTCTAACAATGTTGCTCGAGTAGTATTATGCAATGCACATTGATCTACACAAAATACCGCCTTTGTTTAAAAATACAGGCCAATTGTACATAAACAATTTGACAATGAGTATTTATAATCACTTCACAATAAAAAATTTATATATATACGAAATTACATACCAGTACATACCAATTGCAGTTGTTAATTCCAAAGGTATACAATTGCCCTGAAGTTTTATTTTGATAAGAGACTGATTAGTTTGAAGAGCAGAATAAAGCAGCTGTCCACCTCTCCAACCCAAATTATTCCATCGCAAATCTGCAAAGAATTAAAAATGTAAGTAATATACTGTTTGTACATAAAATGTATTTATTCATTTCTAAAAATTATCATTATTAAATTAAAAATATTCAACATTTACCGATGCATTTAAGAGAAGAATTTTTTGCCAGCGCATTAGCTAGAGCAGGTGCACATTCTACATTTAATTGATTATTCCTCAAATCTAGAACTTCTATCATTTGATTAACAGCTAAACCATCACAGAATAGTGTGAAAGTATCCAATAAAAGGCCAATACAGTTCCATTCCAAGGAAATCCTGAAACCACACACAATGTGCTTTAATGACCACATCCAATCAATTGTTTAATACTTTATTATTCACTTAACACTTGTACCTTTTCAGTGATATATTATATCTGATCATTTTGGAAAGATATGAAACACTAGAAGTCTGGATGTTATTTCCTCTCAAATCTAAATCTTCAATGTAAGTCCCTTGGCTGAGTACAGCAAAAATTGCAGCTATACCACGTGGAGGAATCAAACAATTACTCAGATTCAATTTTCGGATACGACAAGATGATGCAAGAAGTTTTCCAAGAGTTTGCCACGACCATAAGTTCAAATTAATAGATGATAAATCAAGAACTCCCGTGTCTCTGGAAGAAAGGGAAAAAATGTGGAAAAAAAACAAACAAACAAAACAACTGTAATATTCTTTAATATGTTTTACATGCCTTTCACTGAATATTACTCAAACACTCACTCTGCCACTTTCAAAGCATTCACCACCTCTTTTCGAGGCTCTGTTTTTGCGAATTTGCATCTCTCTACATATGATTTTTCAAGTGACACATGTGCGTCTTCTGCAGACTGCATTGCAAGATCAAACACAATATATTTTCAATCATGTCATTGACGACTTTCTTTCGGAACATGCCACAATCTATTATGTTTAATTCTGTCTGTGTTTGACACTTTCAAAATGAGAAATGAACAGCCGACACACATGATTCATTTGAAAGCGAACTGTCAGATACACCTTGACGCATCGTGCTTGTAAACACAACTTACGAGATCAACAAGAATCATTGGTGTATCACTGTTTACGAAGTGGTTGCCATAACAACACCAATGACAGAACAGAAATACCCAAGGATGCATACATGGAAGAATATTCTGTCATAGCACCAATCTCACTATGAAATCAGCACCGCGAGATCAGAAAACGAAAGGGCACAGTCATTCCTCGTTTTCTTCCTTAACTTTGTAACAATTACCTCTATTAATTTATTCTAAGTATTTTTCATTTAATACAGGTTTAAATTTTCTTGAAGCACACATCAGTGTGCACAAAGAAAGACTAGTGAGACAGAATGGCACAGAAAAGTTCACATTTACAATAAATATTAAACTTCTAATACATTATTTGTGCTTAATATTGTGCATATTCAGAAACCCGCAAACAACATTTTCTCAAAACCTGCTCTAAATTTTTCAAAGAAAACATATACGTAAACAACCACGTTTTACTCTTCTATAATATTCTTAAAATTCATATTTCAATTATACTATTATGGGGACTGACATAACAAAATGAAAATTGGAGAAAAAGGGGAAAACAAAATGTCTTTTAGGTTCCCCTGTAGATAATAGCCGGGAAGAAATTGAGGCAACAGCTAGTCCAGACTCAAGGGATTAGGAAACTGAGATTTTCAGAGTTCATTAGAATAATATCTCGTAGTAATCTCTCTAAAAATCAAGTAAATAAATATTGTAATAAAAATATAACAAAACAATGAAAAATTAACACATAAAAAACTAAATATTAAATGCGTAAGACACCACCATAAATGCTCAAGTCGAGTCAAACGCACTACACAGAGAATGGAACAACTAGTCTCAAATTGGTTTCATAAAACCCGAGTAAAATACTTAATACAAGTTGACATTTACTCTTTCCTGAACTGAAAAAGTGGCTAGGAGGGCAGAGCTTCCAGAGTGCAGAACGTCAAAACATCATCAAGGACCCTCTCAACTCACAAGCGGCAACATTCTATGCAGAGGGTATTGGAAAGTTCTTCCATAGATACGACAAATTCCTGACTCTTCACGGTGATTATGTCGAAAAGTTACCCTATTTGAACATAACATTTGGGTAATAAATTTATTTTCTTATTTACATTTGTCCTATTTTTATGATCTATTGGAGGTTGAAAAAATCTGCCTTCGTATAAATTGTCGGCTTTTCAAATATTTATTTTAGAAATTTGCTTTAATTATCATCGAGATATATATTACTCGCACATTCATCTTTAGTAATCGTTTGGGAAAAAATCCAGAATGTTCACGAACATAGTCTCAAAAATGTTCGTAATTTTTCACCAAATGGAGGAACTTTCAAACGTTTTCCAGAATTTAATATAATTTAACTATTAATTTTTCAAGGTATTAATTGCAGTTTTCAATATTGAATTTTAATACTTTCTATACCTTTTGCTTAGCAAGTTTTAATGAACATTTGATGCCATTTCCTGCAATAGAATTCGGTGGCCCTATTGGCAAAAGAAAACAGTTGATTGGGTGACCTACGTAAAATTTGGGATTTGCTTTTACACACGTAAAGTTTTGAAGCTTCACAAAATTTTAGTAGCTCAGACGTTATGATCTGTTTGTACAACACGTTCAGGCGAAGCAAGTATATTACAACTTATTTATTGAGAGCTATGTCCTTTAGTGGGTTGTTTATATTGTCGCAAAATGTGGAAAATCTACATACGTTTTCACGTGAATGACTCTCAGAATGGCTGGCAAACGTTTAATGTGAATTACGAAGACGGGCGAAACCTGTAACCTACCGGCTGTTGATTTGAAAAAAACATCTAACTTTTCTTGCTTCAATGTAAAAATTTACTTCTGTCCTCTTCGTTTAAGGTTACTAAAATTCACGTTCCTGATTTTTGGGAACACTAGGGCGTCTATACAAGCTTACTGACTCTCCTGGCTCCTTTTGCCCCGATCCACTATTTGGAGTCATTTTAAAAACGCGCTAGTCGCGGTCTCGGAAGGACGGCCATACAGACAGACGAAAGGACGTTCTGGAGAGAAAAAACAACACTTGTTCGTTGTGAAGGAACCACAAAACGTGAATTTCCAATGAAATCTTTACAGCGCAGCATAATCACTTACATCGCATCTATACTACGCATGTACGTACGTATAAGAGAGAGTAAAAATGCATGATAGACTTCGAAAAGGGGACCATAATGGGAAATGGGAAAACTAATGGGAAAACACCGGGAGTCATAAGACTAACACACCCAAATGTACTGAATTGTTTCTGAACGAATGAAAGCCAAAAGTGGGCACCATTTTCTCCTTCCGAACTTAAGGATATAAACGAAACCGCGCTATATCAATCAGATCACAAAAGAATGTAGTGGCTGCTTAATCGAGGTTGCCATCTCGATGGGGTTTATAGTGTACGAGTACTATTACTTTCTCGCACTAACGTAAGAAGATAAAGTATTGTAATCCTGCGCTGGAAAACGTCCAATTTTCCACACAAAAACCCTTAATGTCGAGCCCTGGCAATAAAAAAGTGGATAAATCCAGTTGCTAAACATAGAAAAAAATGCCTTCACACGAGGGGTAACCAGAATTCGTTTTGTGGGTCATTGATACCGAAAAATCGAATGAAGGCAACAGTATGCCTGTTCTTTTGCCCGTCCGTCTGTGAATAACGCTAGCGACTAAACCGTTCAGCCGATTTTTTCCAAAATTGATATTCCTCAATCGATCTAGTTGATGTCACAGCTTCTTAAATTTGAACCCGATATTTTAATTTTTCAGGGTACTTTACATGAAGCTTCTGGAACATTTTCATACGTTTCAAAAAAATACCTCCATCGTTTTTGGTTAAATATTGTTGGTCGATAGTGTGAAAGACGTTTAATAGAATGGTGCAGGTCTCATGTTCGTTAAAAACCATTATTTTTCGAAAACTGTAAAAGTTCAAACTTTTTCAGTCTTCCTACAACTACAATTATGAAGATAGAGATTTTTCCTTAATTAAATCTGTTCCGTAAAGATAGATTTTGAAATAAGTTCATGTACAATTTTTTCGAAAATTTGTTTATTTCCCGTAATTTTGTCTGAATGTACAGGCTAAAATACTCTCTGGGCTGAGGTGCCAACGTTTCTACAGACATATCGCGGTCCTCTTCAGGCCTGTACAGCTGGGCAGGGCTGTACTTCTGGCCGACATCATCTAAGTATCTACCTACGACATCATTTAAGTACGTGCTGTTTTAGCAATACTTGTTGAGAGTTAATTCGAGTGTTGTAATCCATAATTTTAGGCATGAATCTGTTTAATTTCTAAGTAAATAAGGGTTAAAAGCAAAATATAATTGAACGATGATTTATTGATACGCGATTTTCACAGTAATGCTGAACCTTATCCCGCGCGTTTCATAAATCTGATCTGAATTTCACTAATTTATTAACGTGCGTAATTAGCTCAGCCTAATTGAGCTTTCTTGAGTTCCAGAGTCACTTCCCATCATTTTAATTCTAAACAGTTGAAAGATAAGTAAAAGGTGAAGACGAATAAATAAAAATAAGATTTAAAAAAGCACGACATTAGCAACTTTTGAAAACAAATTAGACAGTTTCGTTCCCGAGTTATAGAAAACTTATTTGTAAATGTAAAGAACCTACAGATTTGATTTTTCTGCATTGCTAACCAAATAGTAACTCGCCCTTTCCTCTACTCCTACCACTACAAGCAAAAGGAGAGTTTAACAAAACGTGCGCATAGTGAAGCTACATTTAAGTCCAGAAGCAAAACAACGGGCCGTCTCAGCATTTGCTCAATGTATCAGGGAAACTGGACAAAAACCTGATCGAGATGGGGGTCATTGACCCGGAAGCTGAAGTATATTATTTGTTACAAGCATTAAGTATTTTAAAAAATACACAATACATATGTAAACAAATTCATTATATATCACTGGTTTTTTTAAAATTAACATTATTTTTCTTTTTGATGATCAGTATAGTCTCTAATTGTATAGAAACACTTACGCAGCAGAAAATATTTTACTTTCAACTTAAATTATTGTACCGACTTCAAATGGTTTAATATGCGTTGTAAAGTAACGTTCATATATTTTGTATGTGGATTTCTGGTAGTGAGCTGTTGATATTGACACTTGAAGAACATGATTTCTACGACGTATGTTGTAATTATAAATATCTGTATTGCATGAAAATATGTTCCCACCGTTAAGTAAGTAACTTTTGACAAATATTACAGATTTGTACATAAACAGGCAGGGCAATGGTAAGATTCCAAGCTCAATGACGAGACTTGTAGGAATCACGCGGATGGAATTTTTTGCATTATTCGAATAATTTTCTTTTGCAATCTAAGGGTCTGTGTACTACATGATGAGTTTCCTCAGAATATTATGCCATATCTCAGGCGGGAACTTAATTTAGTGTTTAATTCTGTTATATGTGCATTCCATTTGAGGTTTGACTGAATTGAGAGACCTATAAATTTTGTTACCTTAACATCAGATTATTGCATATTATTCAATTGATAGTAGAAACGAGGAATGATCAGAATTAATATCTGGACCTCGATATACTGTGGTATCTTGTACCTATGACATTATTTTTTATTTTATTTACAAGAATACAGTCTATAATAGATTTAGTGCCTCTACTATACCAGTAGATTTAATAATAAACAGATATTTGATAGATGACTGATTGATGGTGATGTGTAGATATTTGTGTCTATAAAATTAATTTGATATTCTATAATTATTACATGTAGCCACAAAAGTTTTATCCTTCTTCTAAATTGTTCCAAAAGAACTTTCAAAACTTGTGGCTAAATCACTGTGAAAATTGCCATTGCGTTTTTCAATCCAACAAATCGTCATTCTAAGTGGTTAATGGCAATGTTAAAGCATTGCCATTAACCACTTAGCATTAATCATCCGTTAACCACATTGCCATTAACCACACCAGCATTAATCATCCGTAGTAAACACCAAGTTTGTATTTTGTTCGTCATTAGTGTGTGGTTGATCCTCGCAAAGTTCGTCGAAATGCCGGTTAATTTTCTTCACTCGTTCATCGCTAAAGGCTACCCCCGGATAAGATAGTACAAAGCTTTCTAACACCAAATGACAGTATATAGAGTTGCGCAGAAAGAATAGCCTAATTTGCGTCACGTAGTACAGATGTTCTGTTCGCGCATGCGCAAAATAAGAATGTGGAATAAAGTGGAGAAGGACCCATTTGCAGTTATGGTTAAAACATTCTCCACAGAACCGCTCTTTGGGCGTGGAAACTTAATTTAAAAATAGTCTCCCAATACTGTTCCAAGAATCTTTCATATCCTTTTGAGGCTGTGACGTCACGACAAAGTTCCTGATCACTGAAATTGGTAGAATGTGTGAACCAGCTTCATTTTAACGCATCTAGCCTTTAGTTGAAAAATCCAGGACATCCTAGGTCACAACGGACCCCTGCGTAGAGGCAGCCCGTCAAGCATTAATCAAAAGTCCTCGGCGTTCCGCTGTCAGACATGCCTTAGAACTAAGGATGTAGCCGCGTTCGTTGCAGCGTATCATCCATGATGATCTATACTTCCACCCCTATAAGATGTACGTTGTGCAACAGTTGAAAAAATGCTAGTTTCCCGAAGGGCGTTTGTTATGGATTTCGTTTGTCGTTTAGCAGCCGAATCGTAGATCTTCAACTGGCCAGTGACTACCCCTGATTTCTGCTTTTGAAGATATCTTAAGAGTGACGCCTACTACACGCCCTCATACATTGGCAGATCTTAAGTGTCGGATACAAGAAGACTGGCAGGAAATCCCCTTGGACATGGTATATCGTGTGATGCAGGCTTTCGTTCGCCGCACGTAGGAGTGTGTACAATGTAATGGTAATCAGTTACCGGGTGTAACATTCAAGAGAAAGTGACTATTGTTAATAATGACTAAATGACACACTTTTACCTGTTTTCTCAATAAAAAAAAAAAAAACGATTGGGCTACTTACAATATGCTGGTTTGTTTATTCTTTCTGCGCGACCATATATGAGTAGTTACATTATTACTCTAACATAAATATAAGATTTTGGAAAATTTTCTTGGCACCCTCCAAACCACCCACACCCCTCTAAAGCCAAAAAAATGTTTCAAAATTGTTTGTGTATACTCAACACTATTTTATCTAATAATATATGAAAAAATATATTATCATATTATCAGAAAATACTTTTCTGATATTTTACAGAGCCAAATTCAAACAAAAAATATTTTTAAAAAAATTATGCTATCTTAGAAACCTAGAACAGGCTCGAAAAATCTTAATAGTTTCTCACAAAACACAAATTGTTGTGATTGTTTTTCCATATTTTTTTTTCGACTGCCCAAAGAAGGCAGTTCCAATAAACAGTGAACTATTTGAACTTCTAATGTCCCGTTCAAGGCATTGTTAAATATAAGACTTAAAATATGAGCAGCACAAACAAGTATTGTCAACTTCATCTATTTTTTTCTGAACACCATTGTAAATACCACTCGAAATTGTAGCGCTATCATGTCCTTGACCTTTTTTATTTCAATAAAACCATTCCTTGTTCTTTTATGCTCTTGACAATATCAAAATGCATGGGCTGATTGATCTTTGACTTTCTTAAACCCAATGAAAGATTCATTCATTTGTATGTTTGTTCATAATTTGTATTCATTTTTCTCAATGGTTTCGTATAATAAAAAGTTTGACTTAATTGGCCAACTTTTGATTCGTTTTGCATTGTGTCCTTTATAATAGAAAGAAAATGGCGTTTCTTCGTTTTTTTCTATGATTTTATCAGACCAAGTTTCAGATAAAGGTTGTTTCGTTTTGATTTTTGGGATAATTTAAATAATTGAAATTATTTAAATATAAATAATTATTGTTTATGTTTATATTAGAAGAAATATTATACAAAATATATTTCATTGTCTGTTATGTCAACTGTAAAAGTAAAGAAAATTAGCGATGCTACAAAATTGCACAGACTTTCCCGTATTCGTTTTCTATTTCCTTTGGTCTCGGTTAGAATTCAAACTTATCACATATTCTTGTCTGCTGCCATCTACCGGCGCCCAAAATACATTATTTTTTTGGATTTCCTTAATTTTTCAGTTTCCTTAATGTATAGCGGAAATATTATTTTAAGATTATTAAAGAACAATAAAACCTCATTCTAAATAGCAATTTTCTTTGAAACCGTTTTTAATAAACCGACGTTTAAGCGCTGCCATAAATTCAAAATCTGAGGCTCTTTTTCACAAAATAAATAAATTGAGTTTTCGAAAAACTTAATGTGAAGTCATTTTAAGTGCATTAACTCACAAATACAATAGGGTTTACAAATTGCTAGAAATGTGCATATCAACAGCGTGAGACATCTTTAAAGAAATTTACATTTGTGTAATTTTTTTTTTTTTNNNNGGGGGGGGGGGGGAACAAAAAACTTTACGTTATCAAAGAGTGCAAATAGCACAGTGATAGTTTTCACAAAAACCAGTAGTTTTCGAGAAACTTTATGACGTTTTTAAAACACAAATACAATAACGTGAACAAATTGCCGCTAATATAAATATTAACGACATTAGAGGCAAGTCAAAAAATACATTTATATAATTTTTGAAAAAACAAAATAATAGAGCAAAATGGCGTTTGTCATCTTATAAAGTACATTTAGCACTATCCCTACCCAAAGTTAAAAAAAAAATTTGGAGCTATTTTTTGAGAAAATCATGTTTTTGTAATTTTAAAAAAATGCACGTACATATTACTCGCAATATGAGAACTACTAACATTTTCAAAAAATTGTACATGACCTTCAAAAAAGAACTAATTGACAAAATATTTCATTTGAAGGAAAAATATCTTCAATTTTGTAGTAGTAGGAAGACGGCCGAAAAATTTTGAAATTTTCGAAAATTCAATGTTGAACCTGAAAATCGGACCTTTGCCATTGTTATAAGTGTATATTACACTATTTTTACTAGAACTTTGAAGAAAAAATTTGGAGCCGTTTTTGATAAAATTTTGAAAACGTCAGGGAGGCTTCACATAAAGTACCCCAAAATTTTAAAGAATTTTTTCCAAAACCTCAAAGATTCGACTCAAGCCATATTGACACAAGTTTCTTCAACTTGGAAAAAATCCTACGCATGGTTTAGGTGCTAGTAGTGTTCACACAATAAAAGAATATGTACATCATAAAGACGTATTTACATCAATATAAGCTAGTATTAATAATGTTTGCATATTCTGTTGCATGTTTTGAAATCTCCTGAACTTGATGTTGGATATAAAGGATGGACACAGCCAACAATTTTTTTTTTTTTTTTTTTTTAATTTCTTTCTTTTTTATTATTATTGTTTTTCAATTTTAGTCTTCTTACACTACCATTTATGAAATTAATTTTCATTCCATTATATTGTATTTACGACGAGAATTGAATTGAATTTTAATTTCTGTATTGTATTTAATTTTTAGAAATACCTGAACATAGTATGATTATGTACACTTACTGACTTGTCATACATGGCTTTGCTGTATTTATGTGACAACTTTATTATTATGATTATTATTGTACAATCATGCCTGTGATAAGTTTTAATAGAGATATTTTCCCATCTGTTTATGTTTGCTTATGAGAACAACAGCTAGGACTCAAGTCAAAAGAACAATGCTTAGAGCAAGGAATTTAGCCATCAATGCATCATGAGATCAAAAGGTCATATACATTCAATGAAACAAATATGAAGGCATTTATCAACTTGTCACGCTGTAGCATTTCCTTGTACATGTGCAGACCATCTTTAATCCTATGATTTAATTCACTTTATGAGTGCACTCACTACTTATATATGCAATTCTCTGATACTCACTATAAGGCAGCCGTTAGTTTTGCTGTGTGTTTTATATTGTTCATGCTTTATGTATTTCTGTCATGTGACCAGTCTACTTTTCCAATAATTATTTGTATTACTAAGGGATAAGCCATAAATAAATAAAATTTAACATTCTTTGAAGCAGTGTAAATAACTTTCCAACATTATGTTGATACCTGAACGAGATTTATCACTATAGTTTAGGTGACAAACAATTGTCTGGGATCATACAAACAATGAATACTTTTTCCAATGTTCACTTGAATGGCTCTGCTCAACATTGCAAATGTTAATATTTGCAAAAGTCTGTGAATTTGTGAATACGGACAACTTCAGAATTGCTATTTTTTCATATAAATTGTATAAATTGTATTGTACAACTCATATATGACAACATATGAATGTATGCAACTTTTTATGCCTAAAAAAAGGGTGATACTCCAGAAGATATGAGGCACTAAAAGTGGATCATTCATTATTTACATGTTTTTATTAACAAATTCATAAAATTTTAATGGAGCTTGAAGCAATACAGGTCACATACTCACAGTGCACTTTTAAGAAAGATTATGATTGTCAGTTAACATGGTTATTTTGAGTATAAAGTATTTAAAGGTGAAAATAAATTCCTTTTTGTCCATCTTTGAGACAATTTGTATTTTAACACAATATTAATATCTTAAAACCGTGATTCATTTCACAACAAAATGTAGCTTTTGCAATGCAGTCAATTTTAAAAACAGAGGATTCTTTCATTTTCACCACTTTTGTAATAAAATACAGTCGACTCCAGTACCAATGAACATGGATAAAGTGAACTTACAGTCACTGGTCCTCATTCATTTATTTTACAAATAAGCACAATAAGATTCAATTATAGTGAACTCTGAACCTTAGCTACAGTGCAGGTAGGAAATATAACGTCCTGGAAATTAATTCCCCCCCTGGAAAATTTCATTGATCAAAGATCATAATTGAAAAAGTCACCAAAATGGAGACCTTACGCCACTTAGTTTCACTGCAGAAACAAAGGCTGTGTCCTACGTATGCTGAAAGTTGGCAGTGACACGCGACTCCTTGCTTTAGTTTCAAGCTTAATGTTACTTAAGTGGGACAAAGCATGTGGTGTTCTACATAGGCAACAGGAAGCGCACTACTGCCACAACCCCACAGCCTGGCAACACCAGCTGTGCTGTGCAGACAAGCGATCAGTTTTATTAACCACTTGCGCCATGCTACTACAGAAAGGATCTTGTATGTTATTAGGTGAGTAATAGGGCCTTAGTAATAGGGAAAGAGAGAGAGAGGGGTTCCAACACTGCAAGAGGCATTGAAGGGTGTCAAAATTGCATTACGATACTAACAGACCAGTGGACAATGCAGAACCAAGTATGGAGAGCTGGAGAATGATCTAGAGAAATTAATAATGGAAAAATGTAAGCAAACAATTGAAAATAATAGAGATTTTAAAAGCCAAATAAAAATTGAAATTTTCAGTTCTTGCTGTTAATGTATTTTGCTGTATCTCTATATTAATAAAAGCAATAATTGTGAAGTAATTATATTTAATTTTGACATCATTGGATGTAGTTAACCACAAATGTTAGTCCCCAGAAGTTCAATATAACTCGAGTCAACTGTATTTATTGTTTAACACAAAGGTTGTAAGTTACAAGAGGAGGGGAAACTTTTTTTTCTCTTTAAATACATGACATGAAAACAATGTTATTAAAAGAAAAATAAATTATTATTTCACACTTCTTTGGTACAATTGTATTTTGTCAATGTCTTCATATTTCTTATAGTTCAAGTATAAAGACTCATCCACAAAGCAAGACCAAATGCCTAATGTTGGTAAAAACTATATGTTCTGAAGAAGACAATAGGTTAATACAATTTTTACATCCAATTGCTTATAAAGAGTGACAAATAAATGATTAACTCACAAATTTTGAAACTAAGAGAAGGAATTCCTTTTTAACTTTTGAAATGCATTTTGTTTGGTCTCTCCTGATATTTTTTCATGAATCTTTTATTAATTTTATCAACATTTGGCAATTTACATTGACAACTTTCAGTTAAATTGTTTGTTATTTACATTTCAAAAAATCTTTTTCTTACCCTTATTTTTTCTTATAATATTACCTACAACTCATAAATCACATTGCTTTAATAAAAAAAATTGAAGTGTTCACACTAACTAGAAATTCAGTAATACTTCTAAAATTGAGTACTCTGCGAACAGTATAATATATTCACAATACTTGCAATTCACAATTTTTGTGCGTTTTATAAATTCTCACAAATTCTTTCTCTTTAGTGCCAAGATACAATATAATACTATAAGGTATAGTATTCAGACAACTGTTCTTACAAATTTATAAGATATATAAAAAACTTCAGAAACTCACCACGAAACCAATTTAGTCCTTGTTACAGTATTCTTATGTGGTCCCAATAGGAATTCTCAGTATATTATAGAAAGGAAAAGGTTTACATTAAATTGAGTTGTAGTTATCACTGAGTTGTGGCCATTCTTTGAGGACTTTGATCTTGTGATGATTTGGTATAGAGGGCTACTTGCTCCCTAGACATTGAAACAGCACTTCCAGCTATCTGGGTCTGGGCATGCATATGTCGAGCAACATTATGTACATGTGTAATATCAGGTCTTTCATCTGGATTAGCATTAATGCACACTGCAATGAGGTCTCGAAGCTGCAAAAGAAATGCAACTTTATATCAATCTCAGGAAACCTAAAATATTTTCAATAGTATATCAACTACAATTATACCTCTTGAGAATATATATCTGATGGCAATGGTGGATAATCACAAACTTCAATTTTTCTGCATAAAGTGTAGAGGTTCATCTTTTCTCCATAAAAAGGAGACTGCAAAGCTGCCATCTACTCATCAAATAGAATAAACAATTGACTTATCCAGCACCTTAAGAAATCGTAAATACAAAACTAAACACGTTTTTTAGAAATTATGAACATCAAGGTTTACCTCATAGAGCAGGCAACCTAAAGACCATATATCACTTTTAAAGTTGTAGCCATGTTCATGAATTCTTTCTGGGCTCATGTAATATGGAGTACCAACAAGTGAATGCGCATCTGTGGTTTTCGAACTAAAAAATCTGCCCAAACCAAGATCACCCAATTTTACCACTCCTTGAGCAGTAATGAAAACATTGGCAGGTTTTATATCTGTAGAAAACTACTAATGTAAAAATTCTAAAACAAACTTCAGGAAATTTTCAAGATGAAACAATGCCTCTCAATATTACCTCTGTGCATTATTCTTTTTGAATGCATGTGTTCAATAGCACTACAAAGTTGAACAAAATATTTCCAAATTGTTCTCTCTGGAATCAAGCGTCGCTGTTTCCTGAAGTGCTTAATCATACGAGATAAATCCCCAGCATCAGCCAATTCCAAAGCAATGTTTAATTCATTATCTTCAATAAAAGATGATAAATATTTTATTATGTTGGGGTGATTCAATTGCTGCAACAGAAAGGTGCAACTTCCATAACCATTGCTTTTCTCTGAATTATTACACATAAAATCTATATTACCTGCAGCAAATTAATTTCTTTCATACAGTCCAGCCTTGCTTTGGCATCCATCATTTCAAATATCTGAATCTTCTTTAGTGCTACTACTGTTTCATCTATTTTGGACCTAGCCCTATAAACCACACTAAACTGTCCCATGCCTATTTTCTTTTCTACATGAAACATTGACAAGGAATTGTAACATGATTCTCCAAGATTTGCTGTTAAAGCCAATATCTCTGCATCAGTCATCTTAAATAGATGTGCTTTAAAGAACCAAGTTTATGGAAACTAACTGAAACAAATACTTCTCTACCTGGTAATATCAATGGAATTCCAGCACCTGCAATGGCAGCTACCAGGTTCTTACAAAAATCAATAGAGTAAAATGACTCCTTTGACCTTGAAAAGTAATCCATAATGCAAGGAAGGGTGGGGATGGGGGGGGGGCTAATACTTAGAAGAGTAATTACCTTAAAACTATTTAATTCATTTAGCAATTAATTATTTTATGAAAATATGTCAACATGCCAGGACAAACTGGATCAATGAAGAAACAAACTCAAATCACATTTCATTAGTGCTTTTTATTAGTAATTTCATACAAAAATTATACAAACATATCAAAAATAGTGAGTGCTGATTATCCATTTTGAATTTGATCATCCCTCTTGACTACTGGATACAACTCCAGTTTCCAATCTATCACAACTAAAGCATCTTCCTCTCTTCCAGATTTTTTCCCCCACAAATCACAAATATGTTCACATTAAGATGAGAAATCATCTACGACCTGACACAGCTTGATACAGGTTTCATAATACACATGTTCACATACACGTAAAAGTTCATTTTTTAAAAAATTGCTGAGTTGATATAATACTAAAACAGTGCAAATTCTACATCTAAACAGTGAAAAAAATGTGCATAAAATTTTTTTTGTGCATGTATACATGTACTCTGACTACCCTTGCATGATTGTCATGCTATAACCTAGGACTTCATTATCCCAACAGGCAAGATTCTTCCTCCGTAAGTTTACAACTTCCAGCAACTCCACATGTAAGACTAAGCATACATAAAATTGTTAAATCACAACGTTAACTTACTTGTTTGCACCTTTTTGTACAAAGCCACTAATATCTAATATAAGAAAATAAATTAAGATACCGGTATAATATTGTACATAGCAGCTCTCACGCAGTGATGTCATGTGAAGTCGTTAATCTGGTTATAACCAAGTAAATCGCTAGGTAATATCATAAAGAACGCAAATGAAGACAAAGAACACTATCAAGCAAACAGAAATGCTCTACAGTAAACATTCATCAAATCTATGTTTCTATATAAGTAGTATAAATACACTTCCCCCCTCCCCCACCAAAATTTTTATTTAAATGAGCAGGCTTATATTTTAAAACATAGGAAACACCAAAATAAATTATATTTTTGCATGAATTTTAACACTTACCAAATTTCAAGTTTATCACAATGCTCTTAACCTATTACATCAGGATATTTTTATTTTGGTGGGGGAATAATACACAAGAAAGTTTAAATACCTTTATTATCGTGATTGAGTGCCACAAACTTTTTTCTTTTTTCTATTTTTTTCTTTTTTAAGAAATCGGATTAAGAAAAATCAAACTTAGTGGAACCATTTACATCACTCAATTGCATCTGACTTCACAAAAACCAAGACAATGCAATGAATTCATTGTGAAATACAATGTAATAAATAACCACTGTAAACAACAAACTGATGTTTTCTTTGCAGAAACAGAATCAAATCAGTAAGTAGAACTACAAGCAGTAATTTCCTTTTTTAATTTTTATAAATCCAAAGCACCTGGCTGTAATGTATATTGGTCAAGGTACATATGGGCTTGTTTAGTGAGATCCAATTGATCCTGAGTTTTTCCATAAGCCACCATTTCCCACTTCACATTTACCTTTGTATTAGAAGGCAATCTCTGACATGGAGAATAGGTAGTAACAGAGAGCAACGAGTCATCTGGGAGTATAGATGGTGGAGAAAACATAACAGAAGTATCTTGACCTAATAATTTATTAGGTGTATTTAAAACCTCTGTAACACCAGGTACTGTTATGTTTCCTGGAGTACTCCAGGATTGCGCAAGTGCTTTTCTCACTCTCTTACTGGACTGTGTATTTTCTTTGCCCACACAAGCTCCTCGGCGTTTTTGTGTTTGATACCCACTCTCCTGCAGAGGGGAGTGGAAACTGGAATAAGACCAACTTGCATCTGACTCGTACTGTGAATCAGACAAGATCTGCTCCTTCTTAATGAATTCTGTAATGTCTTCAACCAATCTGGTTGGTGTCAGTGGCATTAATTTCACAGCACCGCTTTTCTTTTCCAGCTCAGCCCAAGCTTTTTTGAATGGAGTAGGGGTGCGTGGTGTATTAGAAGCATTTAATACCCTGTTGGGAGTATTCTGAGTCTGCCTTAAAGGCAAAGGAGTAGGTGTACATAACAGACCAGGACTATTTTCTATATTTTTTAAAGGTGTGGATTGCGCAGGTACATTGGAACGTTTGACGGGAGTAGATGCCAGACCCACATCAAAAAGGTTTTGACTACTGAAATTATTCAAAAACTGAGATGGACTAAATGGCAATGGTTTGATTGGTGTACATGGATTTTTTATGGGAGTCTTTGGTTCTTCCTTAAATACAGGAAAGTGGCAACTTGAAATATCCATATCTCCACTAGGCATACTATGGTCAGGCAAAATGTAATCTGATGTTAAACTAGTATCAGAATGCTCACTCTTTACACGTTTACGTTGACCTCTTCGTAAAATTGGTGGGGATGTGATTTTAGAGGCCACATCTAAGGCACATGGAGTAATAGATATCAAATCTTGACTTGACTTCTCTGTGCTGTCAACACATTGACCATCAAATCTGAATCCTATGTTCAATTTATCAAGAGAAAATTCCTTGCTGGGAGACAGAGATTCATCACTAGGAACATAATCCATAACATTAACATCTGAGAAACCTTCATCAGCTACTGATCCAAGTTGGATAGGGCTTGTTTCATTTACCAGCATATCAACATCAAGGCATTTATTCAGAGGAGAAAGATTGGTATTCAATTGTTCATGGGATTGTGGAGGAGATTGTAGATCAAATTCAGTTTCAAAAGAAAGCATATTGGGATCAAGATGTTGACTGGTCAATTTTTGGAGGGAAGGGCTAGGAAGGGGGCCAGGACTAGGACCAGGCTGAGAAAATCCATTGCTAGAATGAGTGCTTATAGCTTCATAACACTCAGAGGGAGACCAATCATTTTTGTACAATTCTAAAGTACCAGTCATTTGTGGAGCTAGCTGAGAAAAATCTGCATTACTTATAGACGATACAGAATGAAGAACTGGTCCAGGTTGAATTTCATCTATTAAACTGGGCATTTCAAAGTGTTTCTCTCTCTTAATGCAGTTTCCTTCTCTTGGTATTCCTTTTGTTGTATCTTCTTTTTGTACAGCTTTCTCAACAGATTGCTGAGCTCTCTTTTTGCTCCTGCGCCCATCGCGAGGTTCCTCATCAACTTCATATTTCCGCCGCATTGTTGAATTCCAATGATTTTTTATCGCATTGTCTGTTCTTCCAGGAAGTAACTTGGCAATTTTTGCCCATTGATTTCCCCATTCTCGATGAGCCTGGTAAATAATTTGGTCTTCAGCTTCAGTCCATGCAGTTTTCTTAATGTTTGGGTTGAGATGGTTGTGCCAGCGCTCTCGACACTGTTTCCCAATTCTCCCTTTTAAGTGTCGAGCTATTAAAGTCCATTTTTTTGGACCGTACTTTTGAACTAGCTCAACCACTTTTTCATCTTCTTCCTTAGTCCATGGGCCTTTCACTAGTTCTGGATTCACAACTTTCTGCCAGCGTTGCTGACACTGAATGTCTGATCGATCAGGAAAATGTTTTGAAATTATCTCCCAACGTTCTTGGTATTCATCAACAAGCAATTTCAGCCGTCCATCTTCTTCTTTACTCCATCGTCCCTTGTTGATGCTTTTTGGTCCATTAACACGAATTGAAGCTGCTCTGTCTTCCAAAGCAGACTCGTCAGACATCGTCAAGTTCTGAGAACACACATTTTTGAAAATTAAATACAATATTCATTGTAATGGAAATAAGGTGTCAATACGATATCTATCAGAAGATGGGAATGGATCGGAAGGTTGGCAATGAATAAAAGGAAGATCTAAAAGAAGACAGAATACATAAATGCAATTTCACAACTTAAATCATAACACACACTCACAAAAAAAAAAAACAGTGTTCCTAAACAAAAGCAGACTTTTTTGTATGGTTTGCAACAATTTTATATAATATAATATTATTATATATATATATATATATATATATATATATATATATAAATGGTAATTTCAGAAGAGATCAAATTATAGGATTCTGTTCTGTTGTTCTTGAACAAATTCAAAGCTATGGGAATTTTTGATCCTTTTTGGGTTGGCTGAGGCTTATCGGATCATCAACAGTTAAATGAATTTTCTGTTGCCTTACACATGCCCTAAGGAGTCTCTGAAGGTTCTAATCTAAAACTACGTAATACAATTTTTAATTTTTATACAGGACCTTGGGTTTAACATTACGTACTGTAACATTGTATCTAAAAGTTCAGAAAACATCCAATTAAGCATCGTTATTCATTATCCAATGAGCAAATTTAGATAGTGAATTCTTTTCGAGATCTGGGCCTTAAATAAAGTTTTCCAAGTAGCTACAATTCGTAACCGCATTTTTTTTGATTGTTTATTATTGTTGGTTTTAAAACACAATTATGACAGTTCATGTATTTGTCCCTTCAGCTTTTAATAGTAGTTAGATAAGTCTTAGTGATTATTCATTCACATGTTTAATACATGAAATACTTCAAAAGGACTAGAAAAAACATACCTCTAGAACTTTACAGATAGATATTGGCCCTTGAAACTCATCGCAAGTACAACTATTTAAAACGTACAACAAAATATTTAAAATACCCCCTCCCCTCCCATTAAAGGATTTGGGGAGTGAAGATATTTTCAAGCAAAATATGCACTTAAAGAAATATAAATGGAAAATATTGAATGTAAATTAATACTTAATTTAATAAAAATTAACTTTATTACTTGCAACAAGGAACAACTATATTCTCAATTCATATTACCATAATCTCATATTAATAACTGGTGGAGCTACTACAGCATATACTTTCTCACAACAACGACAATAACAACAATAATAATAATAATATACTTATCACATAAATACAGCATATGACATGTTATATGCCGTGTATGATACGTACATAATCATACAATGCACAATTCAGATATTTCTAAATATTAAATACAATAGAGAAATTTAAATTCATTTCAATTTTTGTACTAAATACAATACAATGCTAATTAATTTTATAAATGTTCGTGTAAGAAGACTGAAATTGAAAAACATACAATACAGTATATTTTCTTTCCTTCAATTTTTCTTTCATGTAAAGTATTAGAAATAATCCTAATATAATCCAAACCCAACCAATTCAAACAAAGTGTCTGTGATACACACCTGCGTTTATTTCAATAGACACGAACAGTAGTCATTTCCAACTTTTACAAATGAAACATCATATTCAGCCACAAAAATTTCTTGATGGAAAGAAGTAATTTGTAATTTCGAAGGTAAATTTTACTACCTTCCTTCAACCTACTTTCTTCTAAAACGATAGCAATAGCTTCCAAACACCTCTCAAATTACGTTCATGAAGCACAACAAATTTGAAGCAAAAAAAAAAATCAGTTGTAGAAAGACGCCGAAAAAAGTTTTCGACAAAACAGATATTTCAGCTGAAATGAGACCTGCACCATTTTCATAAACATCCTTCACTCTATCCCACAACAAAATTAAATCAAAATTGCTATAAACCTTTTTGAAAATGTCCCAGATGCTTAATGTAAAGATTTCTCAGTATCAAGGACCCGCAAAACATGGATTCAGGGTACACGTGTTGGAGGAATCCCCCCCTTTATTTAGCAACTGGATTTATCCATTTTTTCGTTTCAATGGCCTGACGGCAACACAAGCTTTTCTGGCAAATATTTGTCTCCCCCCCCCCCCCGCAGTACATTACCTTCTCTTTGCTGTGTAAACTAGCACTTTCACACTAATTTATGAGAAAACTACTCAAAATTTCGGAAATCTAACTTTAAGGAACAGATTTCATTAAGAGAAAAATGTCTATCCATAATATATTAGTTGTAGAAAGATTCCAAAAAAATTTAGAACATTGGCTAGTTTCAAAATTCAGGATTTTCAACGAAAAGGAGACCTGCATTATTCTCTTAAACGTTCTTCACTATCCAACAATAAAACTTAATAAAAAATGGAGCCTTTATTGGTGGCAAATTAACTCATCCAGTTAACTTTATTGTTCAATGTAGGGGAAGTAGAATATTCAATTTTTAATTTAATTATTAAACAATACTTTTTTTACTGTATATTACTCAACAGACTGGCTTGAACCTTCCTTTATCATTTCCAAACATTTATTCCACAAGTCCTTACATTGTTTATTATTGATAATTTACAATAATGTTGCATTTAGGAACGTCCTGATGAGTGAGGTGTATGGTCAGAACATGATAGAAGAAATGCAATTGGAATGTAATCGTTGAGGAATAGACATTTAACTACTGGTTCATATATACCCTCTTGATATAATTATCTCATATTGTTGATACCGTCTTACCCTGCATTGTTGCATCATTGTATAAATAATGCTTCAAGAGTATCTTCCACAAAAATTCTGCTAATTCGGGAATGAGAAAAGAACTGAACATTATGAACTGCTGAACGTATTTCTGGAGGAAGAAGATCATATTTCTGCAAATACGATTGATGCTGTGCACATTCCTCCTAATTTTGACATGACAGATAAGGAAAATATATATAATTTTCTGGAGAAGCAGAAGAAAAATTGATTGATAGTGCAATTGTTAACTCATGGAAAATATACATTGCAACTTAAGAAACTATCTCACAACTATAATTTCACCCTTACTTAGCTATGACTAAGTCTGAGTCTTAACAAAAGTGAATGCAATGAGTACATGAGAGACTGACAAATTACATTTTGGTGGACCCACAAACACATCCCTACCTAAAGAAATATGTTATGACGATGTACCGATACCAACAGAGGTGTATCAGGTCATAAATTTGTCACTGCAGTGCCTCTTGTCATGGTCATCCTTTCCTTATCTTTGTCCTATCCTTACCCGTTACTTGCACCACTTACACTCGCACTTGCTCTACACTACTATACTTGCTGACAGGAAGCATCTTTTTTATTATATATGTATACTCTACATGAGGTTATTGATACCTTGAAATGCACATTTTTGACAAAATTTGTGTTAATGTAATTTTTTCATTTTGGTACCACTGAAGTTCAGGGGAGGTAGGGTGCTATCATGATATATTCTTAGGTGTATTGACATGTAGCGACTTCTACACAGTTTGTGAATGCCATTGTTGATAACTATCAGTAATATTGCTAGACTGTGTGTAATTTAATATCAATTCACTAACAGGCTAAATACTTTCTCATGACCAATGCCAATTTTACTAAAATAAGTTTTGACATGGATTATTTAAATTTCCAGAATATCCATGTAAAAATTAGTTCACTAAGTTACAAAACATTCATTTAAAAGCATAACCTATCAGATTTTGATATTTTGGTCAAACTGAAATTGACCTTATTTGTTTGTTGTTTATATTGCAATTCATTGATAGCTCTACCAATTTTACTTCAGTATGAAAAGCAGAGAAAAAATATTGTGAAAAAAGTATTAATTGCAGGATAGAAGATATAAAGGAGATATGTCCTCTTTTTATAATATTTCAGGAGAGCATAAAGGTGAACTAATATCCTTTAATACAATCAGGACTCTTCTTTTCCCATTTACAATGCACTAAAGCAGTATTTCCAATCTGGTAAGTGTAATGCAAATCTGATATTTTAATATTTAAAAAGGTATAAAAAATCTTGTTTTTTTTTCCTTTTGTTTATTTCTTATTATTTAATAATATTTTCAAAGCTTAAGCAGAAAAATGAAAAAATGAAGAGGACAATTTTTTTAAAGGTACCTTCTGAAGGAGTTACGGTACAATGAAAACACCTTTCTTTACTAACTTCTACACACCACCTTTTCTGATTAGTAATGTTTTCTAGTTCTATAAAGCATAGTTAGTAGAGCTTGACAGTTTGGCAAAAAGCTTTTTTACTTTTACAATTTTGTGACTTAAAAATAGGAATCAATTAAGAGTACTTCTGGAGTTTATTTAATATATTTTCATTTTCCCTTTCTACGGTATTTTACCCTTTTCTTTCTTTTTCATTACTATCTTCCTTGTTTTCTCTTGGGACTGATCTCGATGAAGCTGGAAACAAACCTGCAAGCCTAGACAACCGAAAGGCGCAGTCGTGTTCTGTATTGCTGTTAAAGCAGAGGTTTCAGGATCAGGTTGTGTTAAAAATTTAAAGAGAAAGGAAGATCATACCAGTGAATAATTTTTTACATTGATGCCGTCTGGCTTTCTTCATTTGGGAGGAATTCCTTCCTACTTTTGAGTATGCCCTCCAATCCCTTTTGTTGACAGAGCTCATGTTTATGCCATACCCTTTTCAGTGCTTGAAATTTTACTAGTGTGAGGAACAAAAACTACAATTCCATTTTCATCAATGCCATTTAAATACTGCAAATGCAATTGAAACACAGTTCTTAATAGCATTTCGTAGGGACTGCATAATGAATGAAACAAATTGGTAGTTATCATACCGAGCGATCAAGAATAATAATAAATAAAGATTTCAATGAAATAATTGTTTCCTTCAGAGTAAGTGTTAATGCAAATTTTTTCCAATCATTGTTTTTAAATGTTGATTGTAAATTTCATTGTTTACAGGCCATTTTGCACCCCTACTTTAGCTACAATAAATGTCTTTTTGCATGCATATTTTAGTAAAAATAAATGCCTGAACTTCCAGGCTCTAATAATTAGATAT